TAATAAGAATTGAAGGAATACTATATTTATTAATAATTACTTTCACTAAGATCAATAACTGGTGATAGTTAGTTTATAGCAAGACATAAATTTTTTTTCCAAATTTTCCTTTAGTTAAAGGCGGACCTTTTCCCACCCTACATATCATATTGAACATTTCATGAAAAATGTAATTCTTCTGGTTCTTTTAATTATAAGAGAAATTCTGAAAGTTTTTGGCCCTCAATATAAGTCAAAGTCTTGCCAAACAAACATAAGTTAAAATTATAATAATTAATATTTTTTAATTTTATCACTTGCTTATTTATTATAATTTGAATATCTAGAGAACAATTTTATATATTTTAAAGCATTAGAACACTTCAATAAGTTAAGACTGGATATAATATACTCTCTCTAGTCCTATTTATACGTCATTTCTAATATTTTTACTAAAACTAAGAAAAATTGTAAAGTTCATAAAAGTTTTTAACTTTATTTATATTATATATATATATATATATTAAAAATAAATGTAGCATTTAATAACCTTTTTTTAACATTTAATAGGGGTGAAATAGTAAAGATAGACACAATAATTAATGAAGTACCCTATAAATAGGACAAAATAAATTTTCTCTTTTTGTCCAATAAATAGAATTAGAGGAATAGTATTTATATACATATAGTCACCATGATGCGTACGCGTGCATGTGTAGTTCCCCCCCAAAGAAAGATGAAAATTATGTTCATCGATCATATCGATTTGATCATACTTTGATCTGTTGATTTGTTGTATATAAAATCTCATACGATAAATGAATATTGAGATTGGCATAACTTAATGATTAGTCTCTCTTTGCCTATAGTTATCTCTGACTCATCATGACGCCTTTGTTAATTTTCCATGCTTAAAACTACATATAAGCCAACACGCTAAGTCTAGCAAGAACTAGTAAAGTTGGTCCAGTGGTTAAGAATTTGGCTTATCACTCATAATATCATGTATTCAAATCCGTTTCCGATCGATGTGCAGTTTGTAATTTTTATAAACACTATTTGAGCATGAGCTTGGAAGCATTGCCTCGTCCTGGTGAACTCAGTGAAGTGTATATGCAGGTTATTTAAATGACGCGGAGGCGACGAATAGAACAATAGACGAAAGAGGATGGTTGCACAGTGGTGATATTGGATACGTTGACGATGACGACGAGCTCTTCATTGTGGATCGCTTGAAGGAACTCATCAAATACAAAGGCTTCCAGGTGGCTCCTGCTGAGCTGGAAGCTCTCCTCATTTCTCATCCCTCCATTTCTGATGCCGCCGTTGTTCCGTACGTACATGTCATCACTAGCTTAATTAATTTCCTCATCTACTTATTAATTAATTAATTGATGTTATCAGATTATTGAATTGAGTTATTTTAGGATGAAAGATGAAGCAGCCGGAGAAGTTCCAGTGGCTTTTGTTGTAACATCAAATGCTTCTAAGGTCTCTGATCATGAAATCAAGCATTACATCTCCAAGCAGGTAATATAATGTTATTATCAATTATTTCATGTAATTACTTTCATTGGTAAAATATTTGATTAAATTGATATTAGAATCACAACCAATTAAACGCGTCCTTGAGATCTCTCTTTCCCTCTTGGTTTCCTTCCATAACGTAGGTTCCTTCTTATCTTAGCAGTTTTAAATTATGGCCCAACTGCCCAAGAGTTTGGTGAAACTTCATTAATTTTGATAAGCAAGACTTCAATTAGGGTGTGCCAGATTCTTCTTCACTTGTTTTGCAAGCAAATTAAATTATTAATAACTTTTTGGGCAAAAAAAAAAAAACTAATAGCTTCTTTGAATTTTGGCTTTGTTTTGCTAATAGATTCATGAAGAACTTGTGAAAACATACTTAGGATAAATTGTAAATTTTTTAAGTTTGCCCTGTAAATATTATAGGATGATTTGTCAATTTTTTTAAAAAAATTCCGTGATGTGATTTAGACTAAAATAAATAATTTTTTTAATCAATCTTCCTATAATATTTACGAGTCAAATTTAAAAACTTACAACATATCCTATATGTTTTTGCACAAATTCTTCTAGGAGCATATTACTAATACTAGCAATGAATAGAATTCAAAAGACTTAGTTGATTTTCTTATTTGGGACTTATCTATATTTCCCCGAATAATATATTAAATATTAGTCGTATTTCAAGGATCTTAGTTTTTGTGTGCAGGTTGTATTTTACAAGAGAATCAACAGGGTTATTTTCGTAAACTCAATTCCAAAGGCACCCTCTGGCTAGATACTGCGCAAAGACCTCAGAGAAAGGCTTGCGTCAAGTTAATCTGTTCGGCCCAAACCAAGCCCACATGAATATGGGCCCAAATTAATTAGCCTGGTATATTTTTTATTTTATCTCTATTGATTGTAAATGCGGAATGTGAGAGTAAAACACATCCAAGGCTTTTACGAAAAAGGAAAAACTCATCCAAGGTGTTGTAATTTATAAATGATTGTATAATTGGAATGATTATAAAAAATTCAAACCAAACTCTTCTCATATCCAACCAGGTAGTTTGAGGTAGGGTGATAAGTGAAATATGGATTTAGAAATACGATATATAAAATAATTAGATGGTTATTTGCTTTAACAAAAGAAAAAAACTTGTATTCCTCTCAATCCTTAACATAAGATGAAATTTGAAATATTTTTTTGTCCTTAATATATGAACCAGAAGGAAGTGAGTCATAACCATGTTCCAACGACTTTGGTTGATTTCACAAGGGCATTAATGTATGCATAAACAAGTATCAATAACATTAGATGATTTGTTATAGACTAAATTATGCATAGGAGGTATTATCGAAAATAAATAAATTATGCATAGGAGATATTATCGAAAATAAATAAATTATGCATAGGAGTGTTATTATCTCCTTTTGCCAATAAGGAAAAAGATGGTTGGTTGTGTTAAGAAAGGCTCTTTCCCAAGGTTTGCATCATTGAATTGAAACAGTACAAGAATAGAACCCTGAAACAGTACAAGAATAGAACCCACTAAGAGGCAGTAAGGAGCATGGATTGGGAACCACATCAATCTTGGCTCTGATAGAGATGAAGTTAAAAGAGGCTGTGTCCTTTTGTGTTTAAGCCTCGTTTATTTTTTTTTTAGGGAAAAAATTTATATACTTAATTTTATATATTTAATATGTTTATTTTCAATTAAATCAAGACATGTGTACCTATTATATATTATTTATTATATAATAATTTTTTTTATTAATATTATTAACACATTAAAATTCACATGTTTTGATTTAATTAAATGAAAGCATATTAAGTATATAAAGATAAGTATATAAGTCTTGTCCTTTTTTAATGGGTCCAAATGATGGATTTAACTTAAATTCAAATTTTCCTCCATCCAAAAGTAATATTAGTTTCTTTTTCTTTTTCTTTTTTTACATAATCTCTCCCTAGATTCTAATTATTAAGGATATTTGTGAAAAAGAAAATTTTGATACCATTAACTTTTCTGGGAAAATGATAATTAGAAATTTTGTAAAGATATTAAATGACTAACTTATTGAATGACCTCAAAATATTGAAATATTAGAGAAGAACCATAGTCATAGTCTTTATTTGCAATTGAAATACTTTTAATTTTTGAAATAACCAATAGAAGGTCATTCATGAATTTAAGGATGATCACTTAAAAAGTTAATTATGAATGAATAGATAATTTCATGAAATATATATCCTCATTTGTGAATTTTAGGATAACCACTTGAGGTTTTCTAAATCACTCATTTACAATTAAAAATGTTTATATTTATTCACAATTGATTATAATATAATGATCTATATATTCAAAAGGAAAAATTCTTTGATAGATTAGGTGCGCCACGTCATTTGTAATTTATCCAATAAAACTATGATATTCAGACAACATTAATGATAGTTGAGAAAGAGACAAAAGGAAAGAAATTAAAAATGCATTATATTATAAGAATAAAATTAATTAAAATAATGTCACATAAGATTTTATTTAGATGACTAGGAAAATTCAAATTAGCAAACCACAAATTATAAGATCTACCCCATCTATTTAAAAATTTTTCTATTCAAAAGTGACATTCTTTAATTTACAATTGAGTGTCACTGAATCACTAGTAATGCAAAAATTTAATTACAAACCTATCTGTTCATTTATAATTGAATTTGCATAAATTCAATAGCGACATTCGTAAAATTCACGAGTGACTATTCTTAAATTTATAATAATGATACATAAATTTATAAAAATATATTCATTCAAAATTGACTTCCCATTAATTAACAAGTAACATTACTCAAATTCAAAACTAACATTACTTAAATTCATAAAAATATTTGTCTATTCATAATTGACTTCTAATTAATTAACAAGTAACATTACTCAAATTCAAAACTAACTTTACTTAAATTTGAGTTGTGTTCTATTGATTATTTTAATAATGATTTATTTTTTAATTTTAAATAAAGACCATGGTCCTTACATAACATTTCAATAATTTGAGACCTTTAATTGCCATTAATACTTCAACAACGCCTGTAATTGTCAGTTTTCCAATTTTTTAAAAATAAAATTTTCAGTTTCCGAACTTTTTTTAAAAATAAAATTTCTTACTGTAGATCAACATTATTTAGTACATATACAAAGGTGATGTATATTTGGACAGGAGGAGTATCTGAATTGTGATTACCCTGTAGCTTGTTATTCAATGATCAAGAAAAGTGATGCTTTTACGTTGACTAGTGCATTGCCTCAATCCTTCCGTTTCGTCCACCGTCCACGGCTTGTTCTATATCCATTAGGATACCATATCATTAATAAGAATATTAATTACTCCGAAACTTTGCCTTCCCTCTCTTCGCTTTCTCCTTCCCCGCTTTGATTGATATATATATATATATATATATCGACCTTATCACTGAAACTAAAACACAGGATCTACAACCATCTCTCTCTGCAATATTCCTCATCATCATCTCCCTTTTCTTGTGTCTGCTTAATTACACTCCATTCATTTGCATTTGTTTAAGGGTTTCTCTCCCTTTAGAAATGGAAATGGAAACAGAAGTTCCTTGCGATGAATTCATTTTCCGTTCCAAGCTACCAGACATTCACATCCCAACCCACCTTCCTTTGCACTCTTACTGTTTCGAGCGTTTGTCTCCGTTCAAACACCGTCCTTGCTTGATCAACAGCACCACAGGCCAGACATTCACCTACGCCGACGTTGAACTTTTTGCCAGAAAAGTCGCCTCCGGTCTCTACAACCTTGGCGTCGGTCATGGCCACGTCATCATGCTCCTCCTTCTGAACTCTCCCCATTTCGTCTTCTCCTTCCTCGGAGCCTCCTACCTCGGAGCCATCGTCACTACCGCCAACCCATTTTACACCATAGCAGAGGTCGCCAAGCAAGCCACCGCTTCTAATACCAGCCTGATAATCACGCATGCGTCCTTTGTCGACAAGGTTAAGGATCTTGCAACAGTCAACAGCGTTAAAGTGGTGCTCATCGATGATGAAATATCACCCTTGTCGGTGGATACGGCTGACCATTTCGTACGTTTCTCATATTTAATGAACGCCGACGAGAATGAGATCCCGCCGGTGACGATCTCTACAGAAGACGTCGTCGCGCTGCCTTATTCATCAGGAACCACAGGGCCTCCCAAAGGAGTTATGCTAACCCACAAAAGTCTAGTCACAAATGTGGCTCAACTGGTTGATGGAGAAAATCCTAATCTGTATTTTCACAAGGAGGATGTGATCGCGTGCGTTTGTCCTCTGTTTCACAGTTATTCTCTGTTCACTATTCTACTCACTGGGCTTCGAGTCGGTGCTGCGACATTGATCATACACAAGTTTGAGATAGAGACGATGTTAGCGTTGGTCCAAAAACACAAAGTGACCGTTGCGCCGTTCGTGCCACCCATTTTGCAGGCCATTGTCAAATTCCAAAACCTGCAAGAATACGACCTGTCGTCGATTAGGATGATCATGTGCGGGGCAGCCCCATTGAAGAAAGAGCTCGAGGATGCTGTGAGGGCCAAGATTCCCAATGCCACTCTTGGACAGGTAATTAGAACGGTGAATTCAATGCTCAAGTAAATAAAAATAAGATTTGTAATTACATATGTAGATATGAAGTTGGTGGAGTAGTAATGTATGGGAAATTTCAGGCATATGGGATGACGGAGGCTGGTCCTGCGGTGTCAATGAGCTTAGCTTTTGGGAAAGAGGCGTTCGAGGTGAAATCAGGTGGGTGCGGGACCATCGTAAGAAATGCTGAGATGAAGATCGTTGATCCTGACACCGGCATATCCCTTCGCCGGAATCAAGTCGGCGAGATCTGCATTAAAGGCAACCAGATTATGAAAGGTATTTAGACACACACACACACACACACACACACGTGGTTCATTTGGTATTGATTCAGCAGGGAAGAAGAGAAGTAAACGTTGGGTGTGTACCACGTAGGTTATCTAAACGATGCAGAAGCAACAGAGAGAACGATAGACGAAAGAGGATGGCTGCACAGTGGTGATATTGGATATGTAGACGATGACGACGAGCTGTTCATTGTGGATCGCTTGAAGGAAATGATCAAATACAAAGGCTTCCAAGTGGCTCCTGCTGAACTCGAGGCTCTTCTCATCTCTCATCCTTTCATTTCTGATGCCGCTCTTGTTCCGTATCTACTTCCTTAGTTTCTTTAGTTTTCTGTATATATTATAAACATCAAGTTTCAAAAAATATAAATATTTTTATAGTTTACAGCTACGTACGGTTGACTGGTTTGGTTATTTCAGGATGAAAGATGAAGTTGCAGGAGAGGTTCCTGTGGCATTTGTTGTAAAATCGCAAGGTTTTAACATCTCAGCAGATGAAATCATGGAGTACATCTCCAGCAAGGTAATGTTGTATTTTTGGATGTCTTCGTGAGTTGTAATAAAGACTTTCTATAATTGAAAGTAATCTGATTTAAAAAAATTAATTATTTTGTACTTATATTTTTGAGTCAATTAAAATTCCATACATAAACTTTCACACAATACTATTTATTCTCTATAATCTTAATCATTTAAAATATTAATTCTTATATTTTAAAAAATAAATTTTTAAAGACTGAAGTTATTTTTTGAAGTTTAAAAACTAATAATTTAAATTGATAAAATTATATGGATTGAGTTGTACTAAATTAAAGTTTAAAAATTAAATTGTAATTAAGTTAAAATTATAAAAAATTATTTTTTCAAATTAAAATTGAGAAACTTAGTTACAACCAAGTTCAAATTATATGAATTAAATAATTAATTTTTCTTTAAATTCGTTTGATAAAATGGTGCTGGGACCATCTCAAAATAATTGTTTTAAAAGCATTTATGCTTCTCAAGATACCTGAAGAAAGAGGCTATATTAATGATCGTGCTTTAGGAGAGAATTTATTTTTTCCCCCCTCACCTGCTGCTTTGGGAGAGATTTATACAATTAAAAAGGATATTTTTGGGCCTTGATTGGGTGAAAATGACAGGTGGTGTACTACAAGAGAATCAAGAGGGTTTTCTTCGTGGGCTCAATTCCAAGGACACCCTCCGGCAAGATTCTGCGCAAAGACCTGAGAGCAAGGCTCTCCTGCGGGTGACGCCTGCTGGGCCCAACGTTAAAGGCCCTTCAAGTATGGAGGCCCATTTTGATAGGCCCATTTAACTTTTTCACAAAAGGTTGATGTGTGTCTCTTAACAAAAAAGCTAAAAATACAAGTAGGACAGGGTCCTCCCTCACTCCCTGAGGACCCTTGTGATGGGGAAAGGAGTCCCTCTCCTTCTTTTCGCACTTTGTCCCGCCCTTTTCAATCTTCACTATTTAATTTATTTTATTAAATAAATTTATTTTAATTATAAATTTGATGAATGGTGGAAATTGAGAAAGAGAGAGCAAAGAAAAGGAGGAATGTCAATCCCATACTGCTTTTTTTTTTTTTTTGGGCTCTTGTTTTGGGACTCCAAGAACTGGCTTGGTAAAATAAAAATAATGTTGCGATGGAAATAAAAAAGTGGAGGGTTTCATTTCCTTCAAAGAAAATGTTCAGTTTCATGTTGGGTGCAGGAAATCCTTTTCCCCGGCCAACGCATGTTGGTGGCACATGTTTGGTTTATATTTCTAAAGAACTTTCACTGAAAATTATTAAGTTCTTCTTCTCACAGGAGCCACCTCAATTTGTGTGAAAACGTGAAAAGCCAAACATAGACGTGGAAATCAAATATGAGGATAAAGGAATTCATCTTTATGCAGGAAGCTCTCCTCCTTCAAAAATAAGAGGGGAGCCAAATTCTTTGACAACAAATGTACTTGGAATGACAACTTTGCTGCTTCTTTTCATGGTTGACAACTTTGGTCATTCACTTAACTTGTTAAGATACCAATAGCTCGGCTTAGATTTTAAAAAATATTTTCATAATTGAACTAAATGAACTAGAGTTGAGTTGCTGGTAAATCGAAAATCAAATTGAATTTAAAAAAAATATATTTTTATAATCAAGCTTATATGAGCTAGTTTAAACAAACTTAAAAAATTTAAGTACCTGAAATTTTTTGTAAAATTATAATTAACAAAGGCAAAAGCCTTCATGTTGAAAGAACAAGAAAATTAATCCATGTCCCTGAAATTGTATCCAAGGACATCATTGCTAGATTGTTATGAATTCCCCGTCCGGAGGTCACATTAATTATTTGGTTGGGTATCAATTCTCAAAGTTGGTGCTTCCTCAATCCTCATCATGCTGCTCTGTTCATCTTGTCTGTTACTATCTGATTTGTTGCTCTTCAACCAACCTTCATCCAGTCAAACATTTTCTAATTGAAAAAGGAATCATCAATTAAAAAAAAAAATCTTCCATTTTGGCCTCTCTATAACCTCTCTCATATGCTTTCTCACAAACCTAAGCTTTCTTTTCTTTCCTTGAGATGTGGCTCTGATGTTCATCCTCCGTACCTGTTAATCTGATGGGAAGATTTAAATGCTTTGTCGCCATAATTAAAAATAATATATATATAAATATTCAGCTTTAATTTTTTAAGAAAACTGGCAATGACATGTTTTTATGGGAGAAGTCAAAAGTGAGAAATCTACCATCAAGACTTTCCAAAAGTAGGTGACACCAAAACCATTTTAGGTTATTATATTGGATGATATAAGTTAATTTATCTATACCATCAATTTATCATCATATTTAATATGTATAAGCTAATTTTTAATTTGAGCCATGTCTTGGGTGAAAAAGTAAATTTTCTGACAGTCTAAAAGTGAGGAATCTACCGTTCAGACTTTCCAAGTCAACAGAATTTCAATTTCGTATAATTAAGTGACACCAAAACCTTTTGAGGTTAGATTTTATTTAGTTTCTAAGTTAATTTATCAATATCATCAATATATCAACACACATAATTAATTTATAAAAGCAAATTTTCGAGCGAGGGCTTATTATGAACAGTAAACTTACATTTTTTTTTTGACTGTTTTCTCATCTTCCTTCCATTTTGAATGCTAAACTTAGAATTTCATTCCATTCAAATTGATATGTCTCAATTCATATTAATTAATATATAATATATAATAAATCACATCACTTACAATTTAAAAATAGCATTTCATGCTTAATACAGACATAAATTGAGTCAAGTTAAAATATAATGATTAAATTTTTATAATATAACAAACTAAGGTTTAAATATCTACTAAGAGAGATATTCATATTTAGTGTTTGATCATGCTTAGAACAAAATTACTTTTAATTAACATTGTGTGCAACAACAAAAAGTACTTCATATTTAATTAAAATTAAAAATATGAAGAAAAATGAATGATTGAATTACACATTGTCTCCATAGTTACCCTCGAAAAGAGGGAAAGTCCACCAACGTATCCCTTAGGCCCAAATTGTTCCTAGTGGATGACCTTAGTTTAAAATATAAGATATTTATTAGTATTTTAGAAATTATTTTTTCCATCATACTCTTATATTTAATTTAATAACATAATTTCTTGTGTAGAGTGGGAATATATCGCCTCCTTCTTATCCTGGTTAGCATTGTATTATCTTAATTTTCTCACCTGGCATCTCTCATTACAAAATTATTGATATAAATATTTTATGTATAATTTAATTCAGCACTGATAGTGGGGGCTAAGGGCAAAAAAAAAAAAATTATAGATATAACTGAATTTCTTATGCATGCAAATTATAGTTAAAAGTTGCGTACAATTTAGATTGGAGGGAGTGAGTGTGAAGAGTAGGCAAACCAAATTTTGTGGATTTCAATTTTCCAGGATTACAGAACGATAATGGTGCATAAGTGGCTAGTCATCACCATAATTAAACTATTCATCGACTTTTGTTTATTATTTGAAGTCTATTACCTGATCTTATTTCTTATTAATCTCTCTTTAATTAAGATGAAAATTGCAGCTTATAGACTGTAGAAATTTCCATAAGAATTTCATGAAAACTTGTGTTCAGCCAACCCTCCACCCAGTGACCCAGACCTCACAGCCTCCCATATACAGGCTGACCAAAAATTAGAGAATGAATCGTTAAAAATAAAATAGTAATAATAATGGGCCTTTCCTGTTAAAAAACAATAATGCATATTAATCCATGCATTTGATCATGAGTGAAAGCTTTTCTGTCCAGTCATATATCCTTATACAAACCGTATTTGGTCACGCAAATGATCTCCTCTGTGCGTAGATATATATTTACCTATCTATATTGTCTACCTTTTTATCTATTAATCTATCCATTTTTATTTTGACGAACTCCGTAATTCTTTGTTAGATTAAACTAGTTAATCTAAGAATTTTCCATAATATCGTCTATTGTATTAATTGTTCTTTTTGCAAGAAAATTACTCCCTCTACTTAATTTATAAGGCATTATTTGGAGGTATACATGCTTATAAGCACTAGTACGGAAAAAATCATAAATGATGATTAATTTTTTTAATATAAATGGCAGTTATTTTTCTGTCATTTATTCTCTTATATAAATGATGTTAAATAGTCCTTCATTTAAAATTATACTTTTTTTGTCCTTTAATTTTTGTAAAATAGCAAAGAATAAATGACAGGTAATTAATTTACCCGTTATTTATAGTTACTCATATCTTACATTAACAATTTCAAGCAAAAAAAATATCATTTATTATCAAATGCCAAAATCCCGATAAGATAGTTATGATTTTTAAAGAAATCAAATGTCAGATTCGATTACTTAAATCAGTTTCAATTGTGATGAAATTTAACACACTAGTACAGTTTAATATGTAATTTTTAGTAATAAAGCTACCCTAATTAAATAAGGCATATAATTTAAATTAAAAATTATTCAAATAATTTGTTTAAAATTCAAAGAAAAATACAATAATCATGAATATCCATTTTGCTCACTGATTTTAATTCTCATAATCATTCTAAGGCTATCCATAACCTGTATCAGCATTCTTGAGTCAAGAACACATCAAACATTATCAATTTTTGACAACCTATAATACCAAAATCAAGCAACAACAATCATAAAGTTAAACAAGTAAAATCAATCACTAAACTTTCTAAGACAATTAATAAATCATTCCCAACACTAAAAAAACAAAGGGCATTGAAAGAAAAGGTAGAAAATACAAAAAAGAGCACCTTGGACAAAAAAGGCTTGAAACGCAATGAGAAACTCATGGCAACAATGAACGATGGCGTAATTGGCAGCGGAATCACATTGAAGCAGTGGATGGTGGTCAACGATGGCAATGGAGGCACTTTGTAAGGATTCTTGCAATTTCATGTGCAAGTGGAGAAGATGGGAGAGAAAGATTATCGGGCGCAATACTAAAATAAATAAGAGAAACTGATATTTAAAGCAAAATAAATCATGAACATTTGAATGTCTGATATTTATTTCTCTACATTATGGTGTTGCCTTTATATGATGTATAGGTGTTTTAAACAACCATTATATAAAGTTTAAATCTTTTTAATTTTTTAAAATATCAGAAATTGAAACTTTATATGATGAGTGTTTCAACACCAATCATATAATATTATCACCATAAATGATGAATTTTTCAAATACTTGTAATTTATGTTAATATTAATTTTTAATTTTTTGATTAAAACTTTATAGGATGAGTGTTTAAACACTTGTTATATATTATAATAAAATAAATAACAAGTGTTTTAAACATCCGTTATATATTATTTAAGTATCACCTCCCTTTCTTTAAATGACGCGTTTTATTTTAATTATCATTTTTATTAATATCTTATATCAAGAATTTTGTAGTAGTTAATACATCCATCTTGTGGATTAGTCCCTCCATTTCTATAGATAAAAGAAACTTTCACTTGTTGTTTTGTTTTTTCATAAACAAAATTATATATGTCAATAAGTATTTATTATACGTTTACTAAAGTATCCGTCATAAATTCTTAATTTTCATTCTTGAGAAAAAATTAATGTAACTTTATTTTAATTTAATACAATGGTGTTTTAGTCCAGTTATTTTTTATTTCTAGAAACAATTATTATAATTAACTGATTTTTTAAACTACGCGACATAATTATTTTCTTTTATTTATAGAAACGTCCTATGAGAGAAGTATGTAGAGTATTTAATGTTGTTTCACCTAAAATATCTCTAATAATTGATGATCGGGACTAGATGTTATTAACAGGATTTATTGTAATTAATGAAAAAAAATCTTAAAATTTATTAACTTTCTTTAAACTTTTTATAAATTTAGAAGTTATAACTTTTGTTCCTGTTAAATATATATATATATATAATTAA